TATTGCGTAGTTCGTCATTCCGTTGACTTGTACACTCTAATGACTCACTTTGTATATTCGTTAGCTTCCACGGGGCTAGATAATCCTTTCCCAGCTTGAATGATGACGCTTATCGTCTGTATTTTGCCTCGAGCTGCGTATAAGAACCCATAGGTAATTTTTGACGCCTACAACTCCATCCACATTATGTACATTTCTTGGTCTACGTTATTCCGGGGTTCGACCTCCGCAACGAACATTATTTGCCTCACCAATTTGTTTTCTTTTTGCATATACGCCATTCATCTTGTATACATTTGTAAATTTGGTATTTAATAAATTCATTTAGGTTTACATTTTAATTTAAACTATATCATTATCTTCATACTATGTATATCCAATAAGAATTCATCAATTTATCAACTTACTCTTACTTAATGGATTAGTTTGAATTTCAATGGTATTTTTTGTCTACCAAAAGATTTTCCCAAAATCGTGCTTTTAAAGAGAGTATGATTTATGTAGGAAAACTAATGCTGGTGATCAAGATCTCTACATATCACTTGCTAGGAGACTTGTTTGTACTAACGAGTTAGATCTTATTCGTCTCAATAGAGACCTTTGAATTAAGTTGTGGACTCTTTTATTTTAATCGAATGGTGGAATTATATGCATTTTGGACAAAAGTAAAAAGTTGTAATGAATCTCAATCTTACTGTTAATATTGTTCTTGCTTGTAATGAATTGGTTATTATTTTTACATTAAAGTTTGGATAGTTCGTAAAACTGGCAATTATTATTTTTAGATTACAGTTTGGATAGTTTGTAAAATTTGTAGTTCATCATTTCTTGATTTGTCATACTTAAATGAGCAAGTAAAAAACACCCCCTAATTAGGGGGCGATTTGTGAAATTTTTTTTAACCATCCCCGTTAATATTTGATATATAGCCATCAGCATAACTTAAAGTTGAAACCTGTTTCCTCTACTATATAAGCGTAGGTATAGGTTATAACTAGCACCGTCCATTTTGATCTATAAGCATTAGTATAAGCTTAAACAACAAACTGTCACTATAGCTAAACCGTCCCCTTTGCTATAAACACTACAGTTTACAAATTGTCGCGCTAAAGTCACAAACCATTACCTTAGATCAAAGGCCACGGCGGCAATTGTATCGGATGTAGAACTATTCCCATAGATGTATGGAGACGGTTTAGCAGTCTAGAGTGACGGTTCCAAACCATCCCCATGAACCTAAGGGGTTATTTGGTTCACCTATTTTATGGAAATGTTTTGAGAAAACACCTGACAATGGTGTTATCGTAAATAATAAATTACTATAGATTTTCATAAAGTATGTTTGGTTCAACATTGAATTTACATAAAAGTTTTCTGTAAATTACAAATTTAAAATTATTTTCCACTAAAAATGTGCGGAAATTGCATGGAATCTGACATATAGATTAAAAAATTAATTAAGTACACCAGCACCATTCCCATGTGATTTCTCATGCGCATTGTTAGTAAGCTATTTTCTGTAAAGTGATATCCAGCCAAACAAAAGAAAAAGAAAACAATATATTTTCTATATAGTTAGTAAATTTTTCATACTTTGAAGCAAACAAAGAAATAGCAAAAAAACAAGAAATATGTTACTCTTTGAGTTCTATAAATTTTTCCTACAAATTTTATAGAAATACAAGGAAATATTTTGGGTGTTTTTCATTTCCTATAATTTATAGAAATTGAACCAAACAGCCCCTAAAATGCGGTAGTGGGCTGATGCCTTATCCTAATTTGGCCACTCTCTGGATACGATTTGCTACTTCTTTCATCCTCAAGATCTACCTTGTGACGTCCACACCTCATCTAGTCGGATTGTATAGGAACATCATACATTGGTCATCACTAACTTTTGTTTTGTATTGTATGGGAACATCATACATTGGTCGTCGCTAACTTTGGTTTTGTATTTCTTTTCTATCCTGTTCTAGGAGCTTGTGTGGCTCATCTTTTGGTTTTTATTTGTAAAGTAGAGATATGCCTCACTTCTTTTGGTTCTAGGAGCTTGTGTGGCTCATCTTTTGGTTTTTATTTGTAAAGTAGAGATATGCCTCACTTCTTTTGACGCACTTCTGATTTTCTCTGAGTTATACACGCGAAGAGGGACTTCTGATGTACTTTCTTCTTATGTGGTTTATGAAAGGCTAACGTTTATATAAAAAATAAAAAAAAACTAGCTCAATCATACATCCACACCCAATCTTCTACCAAAGTTAAAAAAGAACATTAGAAATCACTCCTTCATATAGTACAAAAATTCTAAAAATAAAGCTTTTTGTCCTGTATCTTACTCTTTTCCCTGCAGTTAACAATGTACCATGGCAAGACACAATCTGGGAGAATTTGAGTTATCTAGTAAACACGTAAAATATGATTATCTTAATGTGTTTCAAGCATGAATTATGGGTTTTTGATGCATATTTCGTGTTTAGATCGAGAATACTTCTCTGGTTTATGTTCTTATATGTAGGTATTGGCTCAATATTAAAAGATTCGATGATCGTTGGAAGTTAAATAAGAGTTTGAAGCAACAACGAGATTTAGAATGCATGGCTCGAGAAGGAAATGAATGCACGAGTATGAAGAACTGGAATTTCGACCATGATGCAGTTTGAATCCGGAAAAACTCAAAAGATAAAAGTTGTATATCTCTTCAACAGTTTATCATCGCAACTTAAATTACCTAATTCTGAGGTTGGATGAAGAAGTTATAGCCAAAATACCAAAGACAATACGGACAAGCACAAAATGAGCAAGACAGATTCCACCACACCCTAGTGTGGTGCGCACCACACCCGTGGTTCGGGATTTATCTTTTTCTGCGTTTTTTGGGGACTTATAAATATGTATTTTAGCTTAGGGTTTAAGGACTTTTGGTTTTGTTCTCTTAGCCGTCAATTAGTATCTATTTTTTAGAGTCCAAGTATTGAAGGAAGACAAACTTCTTGTACAAGATTGAACTGTAAGTCTATATTTTGAAGATTTAATTGAAAGACGGGTTATTTCTTTTCTCTCTTTTATTAATTTCTTCTTATGATTGATTTGCATATTTATTTGATGTATTCTCTTATCCCAATCATGTGTGAGTAGATTTTTTGTTTAGGATTGGGAAAGAACCCAACTTTTTGGTTATTGATGACGAATTAATATAGGTTCTTAGTAAAAGTTTAAATATTTAAACTTAATTTCTTGTGTTTTAACTTTGTTGATTCGCTTGATTACCGTATTAGCAATCATAGGTAATTAATTGAAGGACTGAAAGGTAAAAATTAATACCGGACCTCTAGAAATTAAGCAGGGATTTCGAACCACGCAAGTAGGCTAGATTCATTGAGGATTTGATTTGGATTAGCATAAAGCTTAATGAGTTTAATTTAATCTTGATTCCATGAAAGTAGGTTAATTGAGATTAATTAGGCACGATCTTTAGATCTTGAAAGAGGCTTTAGATTAATTTAGGCTAATTCACCCTTTCTAGTTTAAACCAACACCGAGAATTGAAATAATTCATTATTGAGCATCGAAGTTGTGGTAAAAACCCAATCTTAGCTCTTCATTATATTGAATTCTATTGTTTATTTTATTTCTTGCTTAGCTGTTTAATTTATTTCAATTGTTTAATCTCGCAATTTTAATCTCTTCTATTTTACTCATCGATTTAGCTAGTTGAAAATATGAAAATTTGGTAATTAACCCTTAGTCCCTGTAGGATCGACCTTAATATCTACAACGAGTCCGTGTGCTTGCGGATTTGCCTATCAAGTTTTTGGCGTCGTTGTTGTGGACTACATTGTTAATATTGAGTACTTATGTTATTAAGCTAGACTAGATTTTTTTTATATTAATTTTGCAACTCACTTTCTTTTATGCAAGGTCATCAAACGTAAGTACACGATGAAAACAATCCTGAACTATCGGTGACTCTTGCAAACATAAGAAGGTATATAAGGGAGCAAAAGAACATAGAACAAGCTATGATGGGTGATCAGAATCAGATTCTTAAGAATTTTGCTGCCCCAAATGCTCAAGGCACGCACTCGAGTATTACAAGGCTTGAGTATTAATTCTGTGGTGTCTACTTCAATTGCATGTGAGATATGTGGTTATGTGGGTCATTCTGAACTTGAATGTCAATTAGCAAACCCCCCATCCTTTGATACTTTTGGTAACGTATAGATTAACTATGTTAATAACTTTAATCAGAAGGGAGACCCATTCTCCAACACTTATAATTTTGGGTGGAGGAATCATCCTAATTTATCTTATAGAAACCCACTTGGAAATCCCACATCTAATTTTTGTCCTTCTGGTTTTCGTGCTTCTCAGTCCTATCTACCTTCTCAAAGGTTTAATTTGGAAAATATGATGGAAATGTTTGTGACGACTCAATCGAGATTGAATGAAGAGTTTAAGCAATAACAACAAACCACGAATGAGGTAGTAAAACAATTAGCCTCTAAGATGGATTTCCTAGATACACATAACAAGATGTTGGAGACACAAATGATCCAATTGCCACAAAATGCTAGTTCTTCCTCTAGGCCTTCAGGCATGCTACCTGGACAACCCGAGATGAATCCTAGCGGTCATGTGAATTCTATAACCCTTAGGAGTGGAAAACAATATGAGGGACCTAAGATGAAGGAAAATGATGGGGTAGATGGTCGTCATGAAGAAAAAAGTGAAAATGTGATAGATATGGATAATGAGACCCAAACGTAGGAAGAAGAAAAAATTGAGAAATATGTGTCTCCCGCTCCTTACAAGCCTCCTCTACCCTTTCCCCAAAGGTTAGCTAAGGCTAAGTTAGAAAGCAGTTCGGAAATTTTTTGTAGATTTTGAAAAAGTTACACATCAATATCCCGTTCACTGAGGCTATTTCTCAAATGCCTTCTTATGCTAAGTTCTTAAAAGAAATCCTATCTAATAAAAGGAAGTTGGAAGAATACGAGACTATGGCCCTTACTGAGGAGTGTAGTGCTATCATCCAAAATAAGTTGTCTCCTAAACTTAAAGATCCAGGTTCATTTTCTATTACTTGTGTTATTGGTAATGCCTCTATTAACCGTGCTTTGTGTGAATTAGGTACAAGCGTAAGTTTGATGCCAATGTCTATTTGTAAGAAGCTTGGCATAGGTAATTTGAAGCCAACCATGATATCACTCCAATTGGCTGATCGATTAGTAAAATATCCGATAGGTATACTTGAAGATGTACCTATCCAGGTCGGTAAGTTCTTTATCCCGGTTGATTTCATTATTTTGGAAATAGAAGAAGATTCTATCATTCCAATTATATTGGTAAGACCCTTCCTTACTACTGCAGGTGCTATAATCGATGTTAAAAATGGAAGGTTCTCCCTAAATATTGGAGGAGACGGTAGAATTTGATTTAAGCAATGCTTTGAAACTTCCTTTAACTGATAAAGTTTGTTACACGGTCAATATGATTGACAAGTGTGCACATGAGAAACTTGCAAACCATTACTCAGTTGATTCACTTGAGAAATGTTTGGTAAGTGACGGTTTAGTAAATGATGAAGACCCTGAGGTAGCTGCGTATGCTCAATCCTTAGAATCAACATCAACTGCTCCACTTCGAAATGCAAAGCTTTAAAGATTTATGCTAGAGCCAAAAAGTTCTACTTGTGAAGAATAAAGCACCAAAGGTAGAATTAAAACCCCTCCCTTCCTCTTTAAGGTATGAATTTCTTGGTCCAAACTGTACTTATCATGTAATTTGTTTGCGTTGAAAGTTGGTTTATTTATGGAACTCATTACAACTTTAATCGTTTACAACGAATTCAAAAGATGAGTCTTTATATAAGATCTCTCTACACAAAAGAAATAGAAAAATTACAACTCTCTTCAAACACACGCAATGGACATTTATCATCCGCTGTTTGTATGGGATCTTTGCCTGTGCCGAGGTTTATGCATGGACCATCACGGATCAGATCCGGTTGATTGGAATAAAAGATCAATGCTCATGCTTCACAAAGGAAACAATCACAAAAGTGATAATCTCAACCAAGTAAGATTACGACTCTTCTTAAGATCAGTACAAATTCTGATCTCGAGGAATGGTAGAACGGGCCTCAGATCTCTCGAAACGCTCCTTCTTTATGCCGGAGTTCACCAAGATCTCTCTAGCCTCTCTCAAATTTATCAGAACCTCACCCTAGCTCCTCTGAAATTTATGGTTCCCTTCAGATCTGCCTTTATGAGGGTGCTAGGGGTGTATTTATAGATTTTAAATGCCGTGTTTGTGGATATGATAGAAGAACAACCGTTATAATCCATTTGGGTGAGTTTTTAGTTGTGTAACAGCTTCCACTCGTTTAAAAATAACCCCACATGTTTATGGATGACCATAAGGAGTTCTAGAAGCAAATTTTATCAGAAAACACGTCAGGAGCTGACCTGGGCACGAGTCACTTCAAAGTGACTCGGAATTTTGGAGTCACTTTGAGGTGACTCGGATTATCCGAGACAGTTTATACTATCTTCAGTATTTTGACTTTAACTCTCTCGTCCGACCTTAGAATGAGATGATTTATATTGTGTTGGAAAGATGGATAAGAGACCTACAACATTTATCTTTTGATCTTTTATAAATTCGAAGCGAATCATGGTCGAAATTTTAATTCTTCTCAAACCATGAATTCTAAATCTCGTTATTGCATCCTCGCTTCGTATTTTCACGTGTTTCTTCCGCTTTGTGCGCTTCTTCACCTTGCACGTTCCTTTGCTTCCTTTTGGCATGGAATGATCATCTTCGACTTAGATAATCCTCTCTAACTTGGATAATGATGTTCATCATCTTCTCTTTGTCTCAAGCTGCATGCGAAAACCCATAGGCAATTTTTGACGCCTACAGATACCCCCTCCAAAATGTTTCAATCTCATTCTTTTATAGAGGAGGCTGGAATACTTTGGATATGATGAACCTAACTTTTAATTCTTTGATTTCTTCAGCTTTTATCCTATTCAGTATTTTTGTCGAATAGTCTAAAATTCTTCCTGTGCTGTGTTTATTGTCTGACCGTTGTCAAAATCTTAAACTAAAAACTAGTGTGTTGGTTTCTGAATTAGCTCATATTATTGAATTGACATTGAACTGATCATCTATGTCGAGAATTCGTATCTGAATCACGATTGAACTCCCAGGGATTATCCTTTGACCTGGAATTTTTTCTGAGCCTTATTTCGGCAAATCTATCGCTGCGTTGATCGGCATTGACCTTCATTGTAGCATGTTGTCTGGCGCTAATGTAGTTTATACTCGTACGTTTACTAGATTCTACATAGTTTAACCCCAATCGGTGTTGTAACGTGTGGCAGGCCCAAGTGTAGAGGTTGCAGGACCAACCATTGATGCTGGTTCATCTGTAGGTATGGATCTTACCCTTACGTCCCGCTAGTTATTTGCTTAACCATAGGGGAGTTTCGGTTGTAGGACTAGCTATTGGAGCTGATACAGCTACCATTGCAAATGCTTTAAAGGTTCCTCCTGAAGACTTCGGCTAGAATTGATGTTGTCCTGGGTGCTTAAGTCACGAGACCAACTGATGAAGCTGGTGCGTCAGTGAGTATCGTACTTATAGGATTTTTGGCAAACCCTCAACCATTAACGGATTTGAGAAGTCTCTACCGACTACTGTTTGAGTTGGGCTAGTATGCGGATTGTCTAAGTCCGTTCCGTATGTAATATTATGCTAAAAGAGTTAACTTTCTTAGACTTAGTGCTATGATATTTAATACATAGACTTTGCCATTGTTATGTGAATAGGCTGCCCGACAACGCGTGTTGGATGTAGGTGAACAATCCTTCGATCTCGGATTGTCCTTAAGAATGTTATGTTTAATATTCTCTAGGAACTTCATGTTGGAAATAAAGGAAGCAGTTTACCCTCATATACCCGTTGGAGGTTAGGGAAATAGTTTATACTCGTATACCCATTGGAGTATGGGAGCAGTTTAACCTCATATACCTATTGGAGGATTTCGTTCTCATTTAGCTTATTTTGCCGTCATGATACCGGTGTCAACCAAGGCTTGAATGCTATTTTTTAGAGTAATACAAGCCATGGTGGGGTGATGTACCCTCCTGTGATTTGCACAGTACTTCGGATCAGAAATCTTGTTTGCTTCCTCCTGATTTGTAATTGGTAGTAGCTTGATTTTGTTGTTGGCGAGCATGTACTTTAAGATGGCTAGAACTTTATCATCTTTGAAAGAATACTCCTCCTAAAACTTCAAATTAAGAGTCCTTATTACTTCAAAGGTTGCTATTCATGAATGCCGACAGCAGTTGGACGTGTTTTAGCCGTCGGTTGGCCTCTTTTGGCTTTCTTCCTTTTGAGAAAGCGTTCGGCTTGTTCACCATGCAGTTTTAACTCTTTCTAAGTTTTGAATGGTACAACCCCTAAGGCTTCCAGGACATCGATGGAAAGAATATTGTGGCATGTCTGCAAGATGAACTCCTCTGTGACAGGATCCCTACAATTCATTACCTTGTTGCGGAAGCGTTTGACAAAACTATCAACTGACTCACCGTCCTTCTGCTTCTCATCCAAAAGATCTCCGATCGACACTTTGGTGTCATTATTGAAGAGATTGTTAAGGAACGAGCTTTCCATGTCGTCCCAGCAGTTGATGCTCCCCGGCTTGAGACGTCGATACCAATCGAAGGCCGCCCCACGAAGGGTGCCCATGAATGACCGAATAATCAGAGGTTCATTCCCAGAGATCACTCCTGGGTGAGACATGAAATAAATTAGGTGCCGAGTGGGTGAACCTTTCCCGTCAAACGACGTGAAGTTAATTAGATTAAACTTCAATGGGTACGAGATTGAATCCCACTTCTTGAGCCGATAGCAAGTCGTTGACCTTATCTTCCAGCTCCTGCATTATCTTGTTGTCCTCGCCCACATCTTTCTTTGGAGGATGTTGAGAAAGATCAACTGAACCACCCCCAGCGATATTGAGGGGTGCAATTGAACCAGCCCTAGTGTTACTGAGGGATGCGATTGGGCCACGACTAATATTTTTGAGGGGTGTGTTGGCTATGATGACTTCATCTACTTCTAGATCATTGTCAACTGTGATGTTTTGAGTGTGGCGACTGGATTCAACCCACTGACTGGACTCAGGTGGTGGTTGAAGTCGTTGAGCCTGTAACTTTCTCATCTGCTGCATGGTCAACTCCATCTCTATTTTTATTTTAGCTCTGAGTTCCTCTCGCTATCGAACTAAAGCCTCTTGCAGCATTTGAGCCACTAGGTTAGGAGTAATAGTGAACGACTCCCTTGCTTCCCTCATGCTGGACATTGTATCATTGGAGGCTATTGCGGAGCAAGTATCCGACAGTTCATCTTTCGAAGATAGTCCTCCGTGCATCCTTAGGTAATACCTATATCTAATAGCTTCTAGCTGGAACTGAGATATTTGTTGGGCTATCCCTAAATTCACTTTTCTTCCGAGAGAAAAGTCGGGATTAGAGCCGTTTGAAGCAATCGCAGACTTTTTCCTTTGTCAACCATGTTGATGATAACTTCAGGGAATTTATCATCTTGGACAGCAGATTTTCTCTCGTGGAAACGTCTTAGCTTAGGTTTCGATGCTTTGGTGGTAAGTTTCTCGAACATCGAGACTCTTTGTGAAATGGTCTTGGGGCAGTTATATTTTAATAATAATACCCTGACAAGCCTCTCACATAGACAGTGAGAGCTAGTTTCTCAGACATCCTCCTTTTGGGATTTGTTCACACCCCCAGCCTGATGGTGCAGCTCACTGGAGCAATCCATCACTTGTTATTGTGATACCCCAAGTATAATGTTGTCTTTTGACGGACACTTCTTCTGTTAGGGAAGAAGAACCTTGTTGACATTCCTGGGATGATTTGCTGTCACTTTTGAATGATCAAATGTTGTATCAGGAGTCACATATTTAGAACCATCCCCTTATGAGTGTGAGGTCTTAACGGGCTCCTGGGCTTCAAAACGAACCCCCATGCGATTGATGCCAGGAGTCCTCTTGTGCACGGCACATGTACATGTACAATGAGGTGCCCCAGTTTGTTTGGTGGTGGCGGGACACCTTTGAGCGGTCTTTGGCTTGACGGGAGTATTTGTACGACCCCTAGCTTGAGGAACTACTCAGGTTTTGTTCACTGGAGCTTTGCCTCGATCTTTGTGTGAAGAACTAAGACGGTCCGCCATCATAACCTTGAATTTTGATAGGTCAACACTATCGTGAGACTTCTCCGGAGGTACGGGATCGACTAAAATATGAACAAGGCTTTACGAAAGTGGGGAAACGGCTATGGGAGGCGAATTAGGAGCGGTACACCTTGAGGTGACTTGGGCTTGGCGCGAGTCACCCTAAAGTGGCTCGGGACATCTGATCTTTTCAAGCGCTGTCGGAGTTGTTTTTTATGCTATTTTGAACTTTGGCCTCTAGACTTGGCGTGGTCTTAGTGGTTTTTTGTCTACCTCTTCTTTCTTCATGCCTTGTGCCTTTTGCAAAAGAGTGTGAGCATGTGCGACACGTGCACGGTGCCTTTGGATACGCTCCTTCTGGGTTAAACAATTCCTTATGACAAGGATCCATTCG